TATTTCTATCTCCCTGTTCTAACATTCCTTTGGATATCCACTCTCTTAGGTCACATTTAAAAGGGTGCCCCTTCAAACAGTATTTTTGTTTTCCCATAAATGTTTATATTAGACTATTATTCACACAGCAGACCCAGCTAGCTCTCTGACCAGCTGCTTCTTCCCTATCTCCTTTTCACTGACCCCACCCTACACATTAAAAACAGTTATGGCCATTGAGAGCTATAGATAAAGGTCTAATTGGGGTGTTTATGGATCTCCTATCTTTTGACAAGGACCTAAGTCTGACTGACTGACTTCATTACAATGACCAAATGCAGAACATGTCTGCTACAGTGTTAACACTTTAAAATGCTATCAACTTTCACAGTAACTGGTATTTTATAGTTGTATCTTCTGAATGAAAATCAAGAATAAATGTTTGCCCTATTGCCTTAATGTCCAGTTACCTCATTATCTGAACAAGGCAAAATTACTCTGTCTCCACAATTGACGACTCTATCATAATATATAAATATATTGTATATATTTAACATATGGGATTGGTTTTTTTCCTTTAAAAAGATGGACTGGCCATAGCTTTTTCCTGGGAAATCCTACCAGGTTTGTGCTTTGGAATGAGTTCAGCAACTGATGATGACTGCAACTGAGAAAAGAAAACAAGAACACCCACCCTCAAAGCCCCTAGATGTCAACAGTTTCAATAAGCCAAAGAAAAGCAAATAACACTCTTCTCCATATTTTTATGGTGGTGACTAAAACGAAACAAAGTAGTGGATTTTACACACCTTCATAGCACACACATGACTAGGTAACATTTACAGTAAAGCACATCATCCTTCAGTTCAAGCATTAATCAGAGTATTAATTTCTTTCCCCTCTTGAGTACGAATGCAGGTTAGGAATTCTATGTATGGAATGAACATATTCCCCTAATTAAAACTTCTGATTTCTGCCCTGGATATGACCACTTCAATACATTAGCACTATACCAGAAGCAAGCTGTCCATCGTAAAGGGAGTTAATTGAAATCTGTCAGGTGGAATCCTTTAATGACATGGGTATTAATCCAGTACCCTTATCACCACTCCAGGTGAACTGTACTAGTTTTGGTTTATTTTAAAAATCAACTTCTAACTAGGTTCCAGAGGACCCAATTTAAGTCATAGGTATCGGAATCATGTCATAGTAAAAGAACCAAGATATTATGCAATTTTATTGTACTTGAAAGACTGCTGTTTCCATAACAAAACCTTTATGTTTTGAAACTTTGACCTGGACTTAAATTCACCTTTTTTTCTCTCTCATACTTGTTTAACAAGTTATCAAATTAACTAGGCATTTTACCTTGAAATAAAGCAGGACTAAAAGGAACAGAATATGATTGTTGCTACAAATAAGCTTCATTATACCCTTTCACAAAAGACATACACACAAACATTAAAGTTGTAACTCTTTTATTGAATGAATAGTATATGCAAGAATACCAATAAAAGGAAACTAATACTACAAACTACAATTTTGAAAATAAAGCCAATGTAACAGGAACAAAATATACATAACATGAGAGGAATGTTTGATTTGACCGATAACGCATTCCTTATCTTTACAATCAATCTAAATGTCTGTTAGAACAAAACTGTATACCTTGGTCTAACTTTAGTGCTTTTTAAAAAAGCAACAACATTCTAGAACACTTTCTTTTGCTTTGAGATATTTAAGATTCACACATTTGTTCAAGTACATAGATTCTGATTCAACAGTAGATCTACATATCTTGTTATTCTCTTAATCTCATGAGTAGCATGTACTCCTGAGCAAGTACTATCTGAAATTCTAAAACGGATCTTTGAAATAAAACATTTCAGTTGTGGGTTTTTAATAAATTGAGATGAAAGTAAAATTCACCCCCCTCCCGCCTCCCCCCAGGAACAAAGAGCTCTTATTAAAGTATAGAAACTCAAGTCTATCTTTCTACTCTAAAGAACATTTCTTACTAACATTTCTGGTAAGGCAATAAATGCTCCAGAATAATCTTCAATATACGCTTGCAAAGATTACACTGTTTAATATCAATAACAAAAACAAAACAAAAAAAGGAAAAAAAGGAAAGAAAAGACGCTTCAAAATTTCAAGCTAAAATATGTGTAAAAGACAGTCATGGCAGTATTTTTTGAAATGATGTAAATGTTATATACTCATCAAATAATGTCATGCTTATTAAAACTACAGTTAAGGACTTAAGAGATGAACAGTAAATACACTGCTGAGGTCCATTTTTCTAAATATTCATACCACAATGTAATTACTACCCAGAAGGTGATGATGCTGCTTGGGAACATAAGTACTGTACAATTTTTACATTGTAAGGCACTTTTACTCAGCATGTGATGAAAACGTGGATAGAGAATCAAAATATTGGAGGTTTACAACCAAAGGTGATTTTTCATGTGACTTCAATTTTTACATTTCAATTTTTAATGAAAAACTGTGTAGCCAATCACACCACAGTGAGAAAAATAGGTAGCCAGCCACTTATCTAACCAACCAAAAGGTAAAGTGCTATTCTGGTTGCTAGTGGCAGAGAAAGGGTTGAAGAAACCCATACAAAGTCATACATTTTATTACATAGCATCTGTCAACTGACAACTATAGTAATTTGAAGTCCATTATATGATTATTAATCAGCCATTATTACCCTGGCACCTTCCATTTTTCCTAAAAGCATCATTACAGCAGTTGTCTAAAAATGAAGGTGCTCTATCATTTCATGGGTAAGTCTATGGCACATGATGTAAAAATGATCAAGACACAGTGACTCAAAGATTTAAAATTACGGGTTTCAAGCTGTTGTAAGGAAATAAAGTACAGATCCTTTGGGAAAAGTCACATAGTTTGGTAAACAAATATCTAGATCTGTCGTTGCACTTCAAGTCATGGTGAATTTTGAAAATTCATCACATACACACAAAAATATCCAATGGCATATTAAGAGCAAAAAGAGAAAAACATATAGGGCAACCTGCTACTAAAGCTAATTCCCTTCTAAAAATAATAAAAGATGTTGAAAATAAAGCAATCGTCAAGTTCCTTGATTTAACTGTGTGAATACACACTTGACAACTTTAAGGGATTAGCAGTTAAAAAAAATCAGTCATTCAGCACAGTGTAATTTTCCATCTGTTACATTTTAAAAATGCTCTTCCATAGCTGTAGAATATTTCAATGCACAGTCAAGTTAACATGTCATTTCTTGTTTACTAATTTGCTTTAATGTGGTAGGTTAACTAAAAACTCAGAAATCAGAATCCCTACCCTTGATATTGAGGTGCTATGGTAATTTTAGGCAGACCACAACTAAAGGTTTTTGGTTTTGCCATAAAGAAATATATAAATGTGCTTCAGCAGTTAAGTGGAAGAAAATATCACTAGCTAGAAATGCCAGTATGAAAATCCTTTCTAAAAAGCTGGGTTCTTAGGCTTTGAGAAATGATTCTGATGATCAATAAAATACCACCAAGCCCTACCAGAAGAAAAGTAGGGCACAAAAGCCTATTTAATAGATAAGCAACTAATGAAAACATTAAAAATATTAAATAAAGTTTTTAAAATAGTGGTCACAAAATTAAAAAATAAATACTGTTTTATGCAAAGACTGTTTTTTTTCCTACAGCACATGAAACCTCCTTACATACTTTGGGCCAATATATGAAGTGTTCCACACAACACAGCACTTGAGAGGAACAGGTTTCAGATACGACGGCTCAAGTCCTTGGTGAGTGGTAACCCTTTAAATCTTAAAGAGGCTTAATTTGCTGTTGCCGATGTTAGTTTAAACTTAAAGGGATCCAATCATTTGCTAGAAGCTCTTTACATGACATAAGAGAAGAGGTTTACTGTCAAGAGAATTTTGGCATAAGCACTGGAGCTCACAGCTTATAGTCACCAGTTGCCCAAGTCCATGCTGGTCAGTGAGAACATTAACAGGAACCAAATGAAAAGCTTTAGCACACTTCTCGGAAGAGATTTTTAGCATGTGCTGTCAAAGCCAAGAGAAAAAGAAAGTTCTCTTCATTTCTAGCCTCCATTACTTGAGTGTGAAAAAATCATAAATTCCCATGTGTTGCCACCAAGAGGCATGTTTGCACTGTAAAGTGAAATTCTGCTTATGCTTTCCCTTGAGTATGAATCCACTAGACAAACTTAGACACTCTAAACAGTAGAACTTTGTTCAGTCCAGAAATATAGCTTACTTCATTTCAATGTCTGCTTAATTGTTGACACTATACACAGGGTTAATAGTGTTTCAATTGCTTCCCAGAAACTGCAAACTACAGCTACATAATATCAACATGTCAAATTCTGCCATCTAGTGAAGGCTCATAAAACAAACAAGATGTTTTTAGGCAGGTTAATGAAGGATCTAAGAGTTGGGCAGTAAAAAGTTACAAACCCTTTTTGATTTTAGAAAACAGTGAAAAAAGAAGAGTAGTTATGGATGTCTTATTCATTCCCAGTTTTCTAACTCTGTCCGATGAATCTGTTTAAAAGATGATAAAAAATTGTAAAATATGATGCTTGAGGGGAGCACAATAAATGTTATTGAGGAGCAAGAATATCTTACTGGTTTGACATTACAACTATATTCATAAAAGTAGATAGCTTGTTTTTACTATTACAAAATCAGCTAGTTAAAAAAACTATGCAAGCCTATACAATCCTCAGCATTCTCATAGACATGCTTAACTAAACATAATAGCATTAAAAATTTTTAAATTTTTTAACCCCACACCATTACTTCAACATGTATGTATCAGTGTGTATTTTATCTTGAAAACAGATCCAATGTAATTAACTTTCATACCTAGTTTCCATTAAGCTGCTGCTGAATTAGTTGTTGCTGGTCAATTTCTACTTTTCCCCGGCTTTTACTCTCTCGTTCCTCATCTTCTTCATCTCTCTCATCGTTTCCACTATGATTTTTACAATATAGTCTACGATGAAAGATAAAAATCTCAAAATGTTTTGTCATTGTTGACGAGACTATACTTGTCATTACAGTGGATGAGGTTGGCACCCATTTAAAATATGGGTTTCCTCATCCACACTTTCAAAAAACATTCCACAATTAGTTACAGGCCCATTTCTGTCTGAAAGATAGGAAGTCACTCTATTAATAAGACAGAAGTTCATCTAAAAGAAAATCTCTAGTTTAGGATGAAAGTTATCACATATGCCCAAATATAAGGCAATTCCTTATTTTGCCCACTGAGATTAAAAACAGTTTTCGGCCAACCTGAAAACATCAACTTTCAGATATATATATGAAATAATCAAATTCTATGTTTCATATTCATAATTTAAAAGCACATTTTACGAAATGTACATTCTATACATACTGTTGCTTTCTGCTCATGTTTCATGAAACAATTTTATTCAAACACTTCCAATGCCTTTTTCATCATTAATGTCCTGGCCTTCATTAGAACATCTTGGAGAGTCACCTTAGCAGGATTCCAGGTACTGCACTGGGCCATGTCTCTCTCAGTCGAGACTGGTCCCTCCAACTTTTCCTCTGATACTCACTTTCGGGAAAGAGACCAGATTCCTTGTCAACTAACTATAACCACATTCTGGATCTGTTTAATTGTGTTGCCTTTTTTTTTTTTTGGTTCTCTCTCACCCTATGTTTTCTATAAACTGGAAATAAGGTAAAAAGGTTATCTTTAGGTTCAACTTTTCTTTGCTAATCCAGCATATTTTGTAGGTGGATCCTGCATATTCCAGGAGGCATATAATTTCAGAATGCTTCACTGTTAGAGATGATGTTTGATCACTTGGTTAAGGATGTCTAGATTTCTCCACTGGAAAGGTTAGGTTTCCCGTTTAAAATTAGCAAATAATCTCTGGAGTGGTAATTTGACATCACACTGTTCTGACAATCTTAGTTGGGTCACACTTGAAATTCACTGTTTTTAATAAAAAGAGCTATGCAGACGACTTTGGACAAGGATTTAGACCACTTTAATGTATACACACCAATATGTTTTTTATAGTTAACCACCTCCACTGCAATCAAAGAACAGTGGACTGATCTAAGCTCAGTTTTAGGTCAATTATGTACAAACTGACAAAATGAAACAATGCTTACAAAGTATTCAGTGGATGCCCTCTTGTGGTCAGCAATGGGTAAGTGTGGTCATATAGGAATTCATCTGCCACAAATGATCTAAAAAACTAGATTTAACATGAAAAGTTTCTAACATGAGGTGAATACAAGACAGGGGTGGGGTTGGAGGGAAACAATAACAACTGACTTCTGAAAGTTTTGCTCATTAGTTTCTTATTAAAATATTTTCAGTAATTACGGAGAATGCACTCTTCACATGCTGTGTATCAGGAATCACTTTTTTTAAAGTGATGAGTTCAAATATCAAGACTGACACCCCTATGTAGTGCACCTATGAAGTATCTTCCCCCAAAATGTAACTTGAATCTAATTAAGCCTTTGAACCAACTTATAAGTTACAGGAAAATGGAGGGGTAGAGAAACAAGATATAAAGCACAATGAAAAAACAAATAGATAAATCTAGAATGTGGAACTTTTACAGGATAATTTATCAGGGTTCAACAAGTAGAGGGAAACGGTGGGGGTGGAGTGAGGATTGCTCTATATTAAGAGACTTAAGAGATATATCCATTAAATGCAATGTAGGAAACCTTGTATGTATTGAGATTTGAACAAATCCAAGTCTAAAAAGCCATTTCCAAGACAACTGGGAAGATGTGAAAGTGGCCTGGGTATGAGATGATACTAAGAACTTACTGTTAATTTTATAAAGTGTGATAATAGCATAGTGATACTTAAGTATGTAGGGATAAAATGACAAGAGAACTAGAATTGTGTGTTAACATACCTCAGAAAGAAAAAATAAATGAACCAATTGTGGTAGTAACTGGGTACCTGCTGAGTTGAGGAGTTGTTAATACTATTCTGTGTACTTTTGGGAAATTTTGTAACAGTTTTATCTGAAAGGATGAGCCCTTTGTTGTTAGAACAAATTTAAATCTTTTTATGGGATTACTTTTCACTCAGGGACTGTTTGATAAGGCCCATTGTGTGTCCTTCACCAACCTAGACACCAGGGTCACAGATGTCAACCAAACAAGATCCTTGCTGTCCAGAACTTATTTTTATGGTAGGAGACGGACATATGATGTCTTAGAAAAACATATACTTAAATGGTTTAGAAATACAATAAAGACAATAAAACAGGGTAACCAGAATCACTATATAATCTTCCCTTGCCTTTTAAATATATATTCAAGACCCACAAAGGGCTGGAAAAGAAAGCAAGCCACATCTAGGAAGGGAAGCCACTTCATTCAGAAATAGTCTCCCTTGTATTTCCTATTTGTCCATTCTTCTCTCCCCAAACCACTGGCATATGGACTCTTACTTGAACTCAGTGGTCTCCCTGAAAAAATATGGAAGCCACATTATAAGCAGATTTTAGAAATAAATTTAAATGTGAAAAAATAAAAAGAGCAATTCAAGTCATCACAGACCCAAGTGCAAGTATTTTTGTTTAGGGATGGTCACTGCAACATGATTTTCTAATAGCTAAAATGTAAAGACCATCTAAATGTCTGAAAAAGGAACCAACAAGCTGATACACTTAGATAATGGAATACTATGCAACCATTAAAATGGTGTTACTCTCTGTCACACAAAAATAGGTCTCAGATACAGTAAGTGAAAAACAGATTAGAAAATAGGGCATATAATAAAGTCTTATTTTTATAAATATACAGTTGCACAAATGTCTAGAAGGAAATATTCCAAAAGATTTTAAATTGTTGTCCCTGATGGCAGAATTAAAGTTGACATTGTTTTTTCCTTATTTCATTTCCCAAAATGAAAATGGATAACTACTGTAATACAAATATCTAAACAGGGTTAAAATTTAAATACACTAATTCTCCATTGATTTTAAATGTTCAAAATGGGCCTGTTATTTTAAAATACTAATGGCTCCTTTAAACACATAATGTATTGCTCACAAAAATACTCAAACACCACAAAATTGTATAAAGAATGTAAAATTGCCTCTTCTCCATCCTTGTAATATGAATCAGAGGTAACGACTGTTAAGTTTGCTGAATATGCTCCTGGAAACTTTCCTATGTATACAAAAACATACAACTGTATGTGTGTGTACATGTGTTCTTTTTACATGCTAAAATAGGATTATACAATTTGTTTTTTTCCCTACTCTTATCAAATCTCTCTCCACAAATCTACACATAGCTCTACTTCATTCTTTAATTGCTGCATAGGATTCTACCAAATGCATGTACTGAAATTTGTGTCTCTTGATGGACATTCTGGCTATTTTGTTTTGATTTTGTGATAAAAAGTTTTAACAGAAATCTTTTGGGGGAATTTCACCTTTGACTAACTCGCTAGCTTTGTTCCCCTGCAACCTAACAAAAATTGTCTTGTCCACTATTTTACTGAGCTATGTCACCCAATCAGTAGACTGTATCTGGAATGGGAGAATTATATTCTGATAAGAAGCCTATCTTTGGTCCTCTCTCGGTGTGGTGTAACTCGAAAATTATCTATGCCTATGTAATATTTATTATAAGAGGTGCTAGCTCCAATGGGGAATGAGGCTTTTAAGCCCGGGTGGATCCCATGTGATCCATTCAACACACATCATATCTTATTAGACCTGAGTTGTACTGCTATACTGACTGCTGCAAGTACTCTCACAGAAGAGGAATATCTGATTCTGCCCAGCTGGAGCTGTATTTCCTATCTATATCCTTCTTGAGTACACTGATGCCATCTCTGGTGATCTTGTCAGTCTGAAGTGCAGTTGAGTCTGACAAGATGCCCTTGTGGGTACTGCCACTATCATTAACAATAATGTAGTGAAACATCTTGCATGTACATTATTTACATTCATACTGTTACCTGCTCATTTCCCTGAGATAAATCCCTACAAAACAGACTAATAGCAAAAGATATTCATTATTTTGTTTAAGGTTTTGGTCTCCAATAAAAAATTGCTCTCCTAAGAAGTTGTACCAATTTACATTCTACCTTAACATTGAATGAGAATGTCTGTGTCTCCAGAACCTAGCTAACATTTGATAATGTGTATCCTACTAATCTTTGCCCATCTAATTCACAGAAATTGATAACATTTTATTTTAATTTGCATTTCCTTCAATACATATAAGGTTGAACAGTTATTCACATGCTTACAGCTGATGGCTATTTCTTCTGTAAACTGCCTGTTCTTGTATTTTGCCCATTTTTAAATTAGGTTGTATTTTTCTTAACAATTTGAAGTTCTCTTTATGTAGTCTAATTCTAATGTAGTCAAATAAAAATTGTTTCCTCTCATGCTTAGAAAGGACTTCTCTACTTAAGATTATAGAAAAATTCTCCTATATTTTCTATTTATACAGTTATTTTTATTAGATTTAATCCATCAAGAATCTATTTTGGGGTACAGTCTGAAGTAAGGATCCAAGTTGTTTTCTAAATGGAGAATCAACTGTGTAGATATCAGATACCGACTAATCCATCTGTGCTAACAGATATAAAATGCTACCCTAATTATTTCTAAGAGTACAAGAAGATATGGATCTATTTCCTGTGATCTTTGTTACTGTGCCAGTACCAAGCTGTCTTAATCACTATGATTTGTTTTGATGTCTAATAGGGGATTTACTAATTGCATTAAAAATTCTCTGGGCTGCATGTAATAAAAATGACTACCCAGTATCTGTTTTCTCCCCTGCCCTCTGTAGTACTAAATCAGATTTTATTTGGGTAGCAATGTGCCCACATTTCCCAACCTTCTTTGGACATGTAAATTCTGGTCAGTGACCTGCTCAGCAGAAGTATGTGTGGAACTTTATGGAAGGCTGACGAAAGACTGACCTAGCTAGAGGAATAGATAATTTATCCTTCTATTTTCCTTTGTTCCAGCTTCCTCCTATGGAAGGATACCCCAAGGATGAGAGAGTAGAAAGACGGTAATCTGGGTCTCCACTAAAAAACTGCCTACCACATCTGGATTGCTTCCCTCTGGACATCTTTTATGAGAGAAACAAACTTCTTATTCAAGCTTCTTTTGTTCCGCCGCTACAACAGAAAACATCACATTTACTCTTCTAAATAAAACTGCCAAATATTTGTATTTCATTATAACTGTATTAAGTGTATAGAATAATTTGGAGAGAATAGTTATCTTTCAATGTTGAGTCTATCTATATTTCACCATTCATCTGGGTCCTGTGTAAAAGACTCTTTTTTAAAAAACAGGTTCACATTTAGTGTGTGCATGTGTGTGTGGTGGGGGTAGCTGTGTGGGCATTCTTCCTTTACATTTTTTGACTTATTACTGAAATTGTTTTTTAAAAATTCATCTTATGTTCAGCAACCTTACTGAGATCTTACTAATTTTAATAAACTCAGAGCTGATTTCTTTGGATTTTCTCGGTAGACAATGATATCAGTAACATATATTGGCAATTTTACTTGTCTTCTTTACAGTATTTTTTATACATTCTTCTTCCTTTTCCTGCTGCACCAGCTTAACCCTCCAGAAGAATGCTGAAAGTTATGTTGGTAGCTGGCACCCTTGCCTTTTCAATGAATGAAAGTGTATTAGTATAATGGTTCTCAATTAGAGATAGAGGACAATCTTCTGGGAGGTCATCAAAATACATGGTTTGGGCCTCAACTTACTGAATTTAAATCTCTGAGGGTGGGGCCCAGGTATGAACCATTTACTTCTAAAGAGGGCCCTATCCACCCCCAGGTGATTCTGAGGCTCAGCCCTGGTTAAGTACCACTGTCCCTTTAACACTAAATTAGCTATTTCCTGTTGTTTTCTCTTAAACTCTCTATTAAGATTTCCACTTTCCCAAGGAAGGACACTCTTGGCACCTTACTTCAAAATCCGGAAATGGATGGTGAATGGTATCAAATGTCCTTTAACCATCTAACATAAAGGCCATAGGGTTTTTCTTTATTAGTTATAATGGATCACATTAATATATTTCCTAATTTTGAGCAGTCTTTAAATTGTTAGAAACAGTGCTGGATTTGGTTTTCTAGTGTTTTATTTAGGGCTTTGGTATATATACACTTATAAAAGTAAGACTGGTCTACAGGTTTTGTGTTTGGTTGTTTTAAATGCTGTCTTGTCAGGTCTGATGTCACAGTTATACAAGTTTTATAGATGGAAACAAGAAATTTCCTATCTTTTGCTACGTACTGGACCTCTTTAAGTAACTCTGGAATTATCTGCTCCTTAAAGGTTTGATAGAACTCACTTGAAAAACATTTGTGCCTTTATTATTAAAGTTTGGTAAGTTTTATAATATAGCATTAGCAAGCACTTCATGCAGTCACCCAAATGACTTGGTGACTGCTTCCTTATGTAAACTATTTTGTACACAGAATAGTAGACCCTAAGTTCTTGGTTTATTATATACTGGGAGTGTAAGGGTAAGGAAATGCTATATAACTTGCAAAGGCAAATAAAAAATTCAGGGAGCCCTACTAATTTATTCTCCATTCAATTAAACAAATGGAACCATTATAAATGCACATTAATATCATTAGCCCAACACAGCACAGGTAAGTGGAAGACTCATAAAAAAAGAGGGTAATGTAATCCCAAATCTCCAAACCTTTCTCTTTTATCATTCGTTTAAGAGTATCTTTCTACTTCTGTCTCACAACAGCATCCTATTCTAAGCTATTGACAATTCTTGCCTGGCCCTTCCGCAGTAGCCTCCTAACTCACTTCCCCTCTGCACCCTTAGTTCTGTCCTGAGGGTCTTGTACATGGCTGTTCTCTTCCTACAACAGTCTCTAAACACCCACATTCATCTTCACCCTCAAATCTGGGCTCAAGCACTACTTTATTCAGGAAAGTCCTAAATACTCCCCCCCCCACTATAGTCTAAGTTAGCTCCTCCTGTTATTTGCTTCTACAGCACCTATTTAGGTTGTAATTGTACATTTATTTATGTGGCCATTTAATTACTATGTCTCTCCCACTAGACTGTAATATTCATGAGGCTTCTTGAAGATTTTGTGTTTTGATCACTACTGTGTGCCTTGCACAATGCATGGCACATAGTAAACATAACAAATGCTGGTTGAATGAATGCTAACTCAGAGATGTGTAGCCAGAGGAAAATGCCAACTACAGTATTCATTTCTAATAGAAAGTCCTCAGTACTCTATACTTGGCTAAATGCCACCTTAGAATAGAGATCAAGTAAACTAATGTCATCTATTTAAGGGCAATTACTTACTGACAAGCTTATGAAAATGGACAATTGTTCTCTTACTTGTAAATTCCTCGTGACATATTTTCAATGTATTTAGCTTTGTCTTGTACTCCACAGTGGTAATGGTAAGTCTTAACACAGGCTTTTATTTCACATCCAATAGTAGCACCAGGCTGACTGCAAAGTGTACATTTCTGTTTAAGGGAAGAGAAAGAACAAACATAAACAGTACTTCAAAGTTTATGCAATATTATTTATTCCATAATAGCCATATTTCAGCCAAACATTCCAGTTTACAAAGAAAACAGGCAGTTTTCTATTGAAAAAGAGAAAACTTAACTTATTATATGGCATATATATTAAATAATCCTGCAATTTAAACCATGCTGAGATACACTAATATTAAGTCATCCCGATGTTTCTATTATTTAAGTGTACTAGCCCTCAGAGATCTGACATTTAAACATGAATAATACACTCCTTAATACTGCCAAACACAAAACAAGAATGATATTCTCCATTTTAGTAGTTAGCTTCCTTTCCCCCCTGGGATCAGTTCCTTTCCTATTATGACTGGGGGAAGGATGAGAAGATGGGAAAGCAATTCCCCCCAAGAGAGGAATTGCTACCAAGAAGGCAAAAGGGCAAGGGGGAGACTAAAGGAGCAGAAATCTTTTTAAGATTTCTCAATTTGGCCTACATCAGCCTTGCCTCAAGAATGTTCTGAGATTAAAAGGTGAACGTGGACAAAAGGGCTTCATCATCAAACAGTTTGAGAAATGCTAGTTTTAAACAGGCTGTTTGAGTGCAGAACTTCTCACAGCCTTTTCTCCAGGAAGGAGGGTATAGTAAACAGTTCTAAAATTTATTGAACTCCAGATGCCCCTTTATTTTTAGGGGGGAAGGGGAGGTGAGCATCTGAATGGACTTATTTCCTTTGGGGCACATTTGGGGAAAGGCTAGGTTAGTGTTTACACTAATTTTCAACAGTGCAGAGGTAAAAAAAAGTTGATCAGGAGAACTGAATTGTTATCCTAGTTACCTATTTGGACTTCAGCTGTATGACACAACATTTGGTTAGTATGACACAAAGAAACAATTTTTCCCTTTTTTTAGTACTGTATGTTTTGTTTTAAAGGAGGTTCATTTTAAAAATAGTATTCAAAGTATCAATAAACTGAACTGGATTTAAATGGAACAGATAACATCAACAATCTTCACATCCTCAAAAATGAAGTTCCACAAAGAAAGGATCATTTCTAATAGATTCAAAGGTCATCAGTGTCTGAAACCACTAGATGAAAGACTGAAGGGGAACTTCACAACGGAGGGATCAGACTCACCATCTGAACCCAAGGGTCAGACATTGTAATTTGTCTGATGTGATATAGATGGATGATACAGTCCCACCTGTGAAGTATTCTTACCCTCCAAAATGGTAAAACAATCTAGTCAAGACTTTACATTTAACTTCTACTTGAAAAGAAAATCTGGTGGATAGAGGGACAAGTTAAATGGCATCATGAAAAAGCAAATAGACAAATAAAACGTGGGATATTTTACAGGACAATTAATTCATTTTCTTCAATAGTCAATGGCATACAACAAAACAAAAACAGAAACAAAGACAGGGAGGAGGAAGTGTCCTGTATTACTTAAGGATAACCATCAAATTTAATGTGTGATCCTCCTCTGGATCCTGATTCATATGAATCGACTTTAAAAAGATAGTTTTGAGGTAATAGGGGAAATACAAATACAAACTGGGTATTAAATGACACTCATTGTTCATTTATAAGGCGTAATAACATTGTGGTTAGGTAAGAAAATGTCCAACTTGTAAGCGATACATACTGAAATATGTAGAGGTGAAATGATATGAAGTCTCAGCTCTGCTTTAAAATACTTCAAGCAACAAGAATAAAAGGCAGAGATGGAATGAGTGCAGCAAATTTTTGATAACTCATGAGTCAAGGTGATAGACGTGTGTTACTAGGCTTTCTAATTTTGGTGTGTTTGAAAATTTTCAATAGAAAAATTTAAAAATTAAAGTCATTTCTACAGACAACTGCTGTCTTAAAATATTTTGCATTCCATTGACATTTCATAATCATAAACTAAAAAGAGTAAGTGATCAATAAAGATGCCAATGTTTTTTAAAGCTACTTATTAGTAATTCAGTATGTTTAAAAACATGAGACTTAGGCATATTTTATAAAGGAAACTTTAAACCTATCATAAACATTTTAAGAGACAAAACTATGTGTGTGAACTTTAAACAGAATGCTCTGAAAAAAAACTTGTCGTTTTATTAAAAAAAAGAATGAGTAACAACACAGGGAAGTTCTCAATGCTCTATTAAGATTATATAATTTTCTTTAAGTAGCTTAAACAATATAACATTTTCAACTTAATGAGGTGTGTCACATTCACATCTTCATTTATTTTATTAAAAGACTCAAATACCCTGAAATATAAATCTCAGCATAATTCTCTTAATGAAGTTACATAGAAAAATGAATATTTCAGGAACATCAGCATCCTTTACTATATTACAAGTAAGTCAAATATATACTCTGCTTTAAACTATATAGTTTATATTAAATTTTTTGATGACTGGATAAATTTGAGATGTGTTCTAAATTTAAAGCAGAAAGTCAGAATAACATTGCATAGCATAAACGTAAAACCACAGACCATTCTTTTTCCTCGCTTAATCTCCTGAAGTACAGTTTTAATATCAAAATCTCCAAATTCTGCTCTTGATGTTGTTGTGAGCTGGACTGTGCCAGAAGAAAATAACTAGAAAAGAAAAATGCAGGAAATTTAATATTCAGAATCCTGTGAGAAAAAGGTTCAATGACATAATAACTAATGTGTTATATTACTTTAATATTCCAAGAAAGGTGACTTTCCCTTAAAAATCAGGTACTTGCTCAAATATTTTTAATACATTAGCATGTCTGACTAAAACATAACCAAAAATAAGGACATTCAAATAAAACCAAGGTTGCCACTGTGGAGCCAAGAGTAAATACTTCGTTAGACAATAAAGATTTCAACAGTGTCACTGTAATTTCAACTACTTTATATTTCTGTGAAGTTCTAAAATTAGTTTTAATTGGCAAATTTCAACCAGATATACAGATCAGAATCACATGGGGATTTTCTTTTTTCAAATTAGATGTGTTTGGGATCCACTCCAGGAGTGAGTATTTTGGAAAAGCCTCAACTAAATCTGATATGCATCTCTGATTAACAACCTCTGATATAAATACACTATGATTTTTAAAACCTAATAAAAAATGGAATGAGTAATTCAATACTATCTAATTCAAAAACTTTTATATATACTATATATCAGACCTTGATCTAAAGATGCAAAGATGAGATTTAGTTCTTATCTTCAAGGAATTTAAAGAGTCTGTTAAAGGAGAGAGGCTCACAAAAGAGTAACTGTCATACTATCTATGAAGTACAATAGAGATATTTACTAGGTTATAGTAAAGGCCAAACATATCTTTCCCAACAAGTTTATAAAGCTGAAATTTTTACAGTTATAAAGTAGTTAATTATAGATTACTTGGAATATGGTACTATAATTAGGATTACATTAAATCCTACTAAATTTTTAGTATTTAAAAAAATCTAAAGTTTATGAAGATGGGATTACAGGATATGCTAATAAAGTTCTAAAACACTAATGCTAAGGGAAAAAGTGCTATTTTGGCTACTAGCTAAATGCTTTTCAAAAACACTGTGTTTAAAAACACATAACAAGAACCATGCTTACCATGCACTTATAATGTGCCGCTGCCTTCTTGGCATTGAATATATGCAGTTTCCCTCTTGCTTCATTTTCTTCTTCTCCTACATGACAAAATCCACATTTAGGCCTGGTGTCACTAGGGCTGCTTCTGTGTGGAGACCTATCTCTCTGCAAATATAAGAGAAAAAAAATAAGATCCATCAAAATATGCTACCAGTACCTCAAGCTTAGTTAACATTTCAAATGTTGAACTTTACCTAAAAATACGGTTTAAATGAAATATTCATGCAACAAAAAGTAAGAATCCCACAGTTTCCTACTTACATAGGAACTACTTTCCATTTCATCTGTTCCATGGGAGGATGTGGACCTGGTATCTTCAGATAGCCCTTTAAAATTAGTTTTTCGTGGCCTTCCTTTGCGACTTTTCTTTTTACTTTTAGGTGATGAGGGCTCCAGTTCATGTTCATTAAAACTTTCTTCTAAATCAGCTGCTTAAATATAAACGAAAGCTTTACATGGACCAATCTTAAAATGAGCTTTAGTTCATGGGTCTTTAGAACATACGTTTTCTCCTCAGAATGCTATCACCTCCAGAAATGAGAAGAAACACTCTTGTTATGCTCAGTATAGCAACTAACATTTTATATAAACACAACAAAAATTAAATACAAACTTTTATTATAATCATAGTAACACTAATTATTTCCATTGAATTTATAATTCTATAAAAATGAGTTTTGTGATCTTGACCGTACACATAATTCAGTAAACATTTTCAAACTCTAGTAAGTCAACTTTTAGAATTAGCTCTTGTATTTTTTTTACCATAGGTTTTAAAGAGTTTTATCTCACACTGTTAGTGAAATCAGAACACTTAACTTTCTGCCACTTGGAAAACTAAATGAAAATAAAGTAGTTATATCTGTACTGTACAATACAGTAGCCAATTAGCAACATGTGGTGTTAAAAATTTAAGCTCTGATAATTAAATAAAATCAAACCTTCAGTTTCTCCGTTGTACTGATCACATTTCAAGTGCTTATTAGTTTAATTAGTCACATGTGGCAGGCTATCTCTATACTGGACATCAAGATATAGAATGTTTCTATCACTGCAGAAAAGTTCTATTGGCAGTACTACTATGGAGAGCTCTTTAAACTATCATGAAAATCAAATAGCCAAATGCAACAAGGAAGTAATCTACAAATGAACTAACTGATCAAGGAATTAAACAAATATTAAGTACAAAAAGAATTTCAAAAAAATTAATAAAAAAAGAATTTCTAAAATAAGCGGTAAAAAAGGTATATTGCAGGTTAGTTGTGCATACTTCAATGGATTAAACAAAATTGATGCAGAAATTTTAGAGTTGCATTTCTCAGCAATTTGAAAAGAATTTCTACTATTAATGGAAGGTGTTACATTAGTCACTACAAGTATTTTACTTATTGAAGGTCTACTGTATGTAAGACAATGAAGGCATTTAGTATTCAACATGGTATAAAAATCAAATGTTCACTGTGTTAGGTCAAACTATAGAAACTTTTAGGCATAGCTCTAATACCTTCATTGTTTTTTCTTTTACACTAAGTTATTTATTATAATTCCAGGGACTAATTTCTCAATGAGAAAGCATACCAACTCCTAGTCTCAGATGCTATTATCTTCCCTAATAAATATTTTTAAAGCTTTTGTGGTTTTTTTAAGAAATAAAAGCACATTCATTATAGTAAGAAATTCAATTAGCAAACTTGAACATATAAACTCAAGGAACTGATATTATACTGTAAACCAGTTAATAAAAATTTCTATCAATGCAAGTTCACATAACTATGGTAGGATTTGAAAGATGAAGAAAGGCAAAAAGGTGGGGGTTGTGGGGGGGCCTTGGTGAAGGAGGGGAACCTAGTAAACATAATGTTCCTCATGTAATTGTAGACAAATGATAACAAAAAAAAAAAGAAGTCATGAAAAAAAAGGCTAAAAGGTAAATGTTAGTGGATAGTGTTTTATAGGTATACACAAGTTCATGTGAATAATCAATCCTCCCTGTGAAGACAGAAAAGTCAAAGATGATTTGTGATCTTAACACTATAGCAAATTTTGTATCAGAACATACCACCTACTTTAAACATTTAAACTGACAATATTTAAGACAATTTCATTAAAGCTGTTAGAATCACTTGCACTTGCCCCAAATTAAAAATTAAAATGAAAAAACATAACCAAATATTTCAAGCATTCTGATACATTTCTGATATACATAAAATTCTATTGTTTACAATAAAAACAAATAACCACTAACACTATAATAATATTATATAACACTATAACACTACATTAAAGAAATTCCCTAACTGATTTCCATTATCAGGCCAACATGACTAGTTTTCCACATGGCATATTTGTCTGTCCTAAATATGGAATCATTCAGTATAAAATTTTAGGGGACTTTAACAGCAATAGCAAAAAAAATCACAAAAGATTAACAGATTTAACTATATTAACCTTTCAAACTTCTGAAAGTATAAAAAAAGTGGTAACATTAAAAGGCAAACAATAAACTGGAAAAATATCTGCTGTATCTGTGAAAAAGGATTAGTATTCTTATGATATAAGATCATAAAAGATTAAGACTCCAAGAGAAAAACAAATCAAGCATATGATCAAGTAATTTACAGGACTAAGTAAACATACTTTTAGAAAATGTCACTTCTCTAGGATCGTTAAGTATAAGCTGATATATCAATTGTCACTTATCAAAATAGATTTTAGTTATAACAGCTAAAATAAACCCCCCAAAAATGTGTTAGAAATAAAAATACAAAAGAAGACCCACAAAAATGCTGACATTGGACATGCTTCTGGATGAATGGGATCAACATTAAGATATCAGTTCTCATTAATCTAATTTAATGGAACTCCAATAAAATAAAACTTAGTTGATTTCATGGTTTTCCAGAAGAATAAATGTACAATATATAAGAACATCTTTTAAAAATATACTATAAAATAACAGCAGTTAAAACATTGGCACAGGAATAGACATATATCAGCACAGTAGAAACAAGGCTGAAAACAGACCAATATACATACGGAAATTCAGAGTATGATAATAGTGGCATTTCAAATGAGTGGGAAAAAGACATGATAGCATAATTGGCTATCCACTTTTAAAAAATTGATTCCTTTCCTCATACCATGTGAAAAAACTAAAGATGGATCAAAAAATCTAATTATAAAATAACAAACCACAAATATAATAGAAGAAAATGGAGGAAAATATTTTTTATAATCTTGGGGTTGGGACACCTAAGAAGCCATAAAAGAAAACTGAGAGATCTGACTAGATTAGAAACTTTTGTATGGCACAAGGTACCATAAACCAGGTTAAAAGACAAATGAACTTGGTGATTGGGGAGTCTAGTAAACATAATGTTCCTCATGTAACTGTAGATTAATGATACCAAAAAAAAAAAAAGAGAAATGATAAACCGGAAAATCACTTGCATCTGTGACAGAAAATTAGTATTTGTATTAAAGAGTACATACAAATCAATTTTAAAAAGACAAACCTCAAGAGAAAAATACACAAAGGAGAGTAGCGGGCAATTCACAGAAGGAATATAAATGACTAAAAAACATGAACCAAAGCCCAATCTAAGAGAAATGGAAATTAAATGAGATAATTTGATTGGCAAAAATTAAAGACTGATAATATCCAACACAGATGCAGGGAACTGGATGCTCTCAAACACTGCTGATGGGAGCATAAACTGGGTACATGTGACAGTACTTATTCCCAATGTTAAAATGCACAGACCCTTTTACCTAGCAACCCCATTTCTAGGACTTTATCCTACAGAGAATCACTTGTATAGTACATAAGCACATATGTACAGGGAAGATCAAATGCAGTTTTATTTGTATTCGTGAAATAATAGATGTAACTGATTTTTATTAAGAGAAATCCTTCAACTATGGTTCTATTTATTCTATGGGATTTAACATGACTTTAAAAACATGAGGTCCATCAATGGGGAAATAAAAAAACATCTCAGTGGAGAAAAAGAAAAGAAAGAATGAAGTGGATCTGTATGCACCAATAGGGAAGGAGGTCTGTGATATATCAGAATGAAAAAAGCAAGTAGCATAACATTATGTATATACACTATGATGCCACTGTATTTAAAAAGTGCCCATGCACTATATATGTAAGTTCGTATGTGTATAAAAAAGGCTCTGGGAAGATATACACCAAACTGTTACTACTAGTTACTCCTAGACAGTGACTTCAGGGAAAGAGAGGGCTTTTTCAACTACTTTGGTTTTAACAGTACTATTTGCACTTTTAACTTTGAAACAGTGGACAATGTACTGTCTTAGTAATTTAAAAGAATTTAGAGCATTCAGTGTGACAAAAAGGAGGTGCTAAACTCATCCACCACTGATGAGAATACAGCTGACCCTTGAACAACATGGGTTTGAACTGCATGGGTCCACTCATACATGGATTGTTTTTCAATAAATCCACTGGAAAATATTTTGGAGATTTTTGAGAAAAGATTTCTTCTCTCTGGCTTACTTTATTGTAAGAACAGTATATAATACATATGACACACAAAGTATGTGTTAATCGACTTTGTTCTCATAAGGTTTCCGTTCAATAGTAGGCTATTAGTGGTTAAGTTTTTGGAGAGTCAAATGTTATACAGGGATTTGCAACTACCCAGGGAGTTGGTGCCCCTAACCTCCATGTTGTTGAAGGATCAACTGTATAATCTAGCATAATCTTTCTTGAAAGAAATATGGCAACACATTGTCAGGGACCTCAGAAAGACTGAACCCTCTGACTGAGTGATTTTGCTTTGGGTAATTAATCCCAAAAAATAATTTAAAATGGTAGTAAGAAGCTAGTTACAGACCTTTGCTTAATTTTTTCATGGTTATTTTTTTTCCTCCAATTCAAAATTGTGAAAATGTTTTAACACTAAAAATAATTTTTCTTTAATAATAATTATAAAAGAACTGTCTGCGTAAAAGATGCATAAATCATCCTTTCCCCCTAATTCCACCTGCTCTGTACTCCTACCTGGTGCCCTAGTTTTCTTACTTCCTCCTCCCTTCTTACTCCCTCGCTCACAGGCTTGCTTGCTCCCTCCCTCCCTCCCTCTCAAAGTAACCACTGCGAAGACTTCTCAAGGGTTGACAGCCTGTGAATCCTGGATCTGTCACGGTGTGTCCTCTTACCTGACACCTAGCTCAGAGGGTTCTTGAATGAATCAAATGAGTTAGTTCATGTAAAGTACTTAGGTGAGAACTGTGCCTGGCACATAAGATGCTCTCAATAAATGTCAGCTACTATTTTCTCTATGTGTGCAACCATGTTTTTTAAAAGAATACACCAACAAATGGTACTTGAAGCATACTATTCTGCATCTTACCCTGGTCCACTTAATATATAAATTGAAAATACTCAAAATATAAGAGT